AACAGAGGCCTGTGCTGACACAATCTGGGTTTTATTATGTGCTCCCTGAACTTCTGCTTTCCTCACCTGCATCTCAGAAAATACCTATTACGTTTTATTCCCTTAATAAATGGCAGTAAGATGACTCCTTACGTTGTCAGTTGGATGATTCTGGCTATGACTTCAAAACAAAAACTTTTATATCCATAACAACTAAAAGTGAAATAGGAAAGTTTTAAAGTTTTCAAAACAGGAATAAAAGGCAAATCTGAAGTGCCTGCAATAGCTATATAAAAGGGTATAAAATGTTTGTAAGAAAAATCTTACAATTTTTTAATTAAAAGAACCCAACCAACAAAAATCCTCAAGTAAAATATCCAGCTACCMTGCAAAACCTCCTAAGACCTCTCCTAAGTCAATTGCTTAAATTTCCTCTCCGTGCTGTTAATGTGTGTRAAATATAGCTCTGACAAAATTTCACCTCCTCTCTGGAGTCAGATGGAGAGGACCAGAAAAGGTCACTTCCCTCCAGCATTCCATGAAAGGGAAAAGGGGAAATCAGAGCACAGGGACAGGGTACTTGGATAAAAAGGACCACAGATAACGGGTTGGCAACATCCAGTTGGCTGCRTTTGTAATCTGCTCCTGCCATATACAATCCTGGGCTGCAGAGCATCCCTTGGCACTGCTGCAGGGTGTTAAGTGGCTGAATTCAGACCTTGCTAAGGAAAGAGARAGCTCCCAAACCACAGGGCCCTGCCAAAGGCAGAAGAGGCACTTGGCACAGAGGGGCGAGTGAAACCGGCGATACGAATGCTCTGTGCTCTTATCTKTGCTTCAGCCCTGGTGATTACTGGGCCCTCCAAGAGAGAAAGAGATAGGCAGCAAACAAAAATGTGGATCATAATTGAAAATGCAGAAGAGGAAAGAGAAAATTAGTCCCTCCCAGTAGTTGCCTTGGGGGTAGGCCAGGGATGCTTAGTCCAGGGAGGGCTAATGTTGGAGAAGAGTCAGAAATTTCTGACTAAGTTACGAGTCAGCTCCTCTTCCCTTCCTGTAGCCCATTCCAGCTGGCTCACCTTCACTGGCAGATGTAAAATATTTCTGGTCCACTTTGCAAGGGGACTGACAGAACTCCAATATAAAGAATCAGCATAAAGCTACTTGAAGAGAAATAGACACTGAAGCAATAACTAGGCCACATTAACCCATGTGTCCTCTAAAACATGAAGGGTATGAACTAGCATTTAGAAACCAATCATGGGCTAGTTAGATGGAAAAYGTTCCACTAATGTGAGAGCTACAAGAGATGCTCTAATCTTTGATTACCCCTGAGGCCATAACAAACTCWGAAAGAAGCACATGAATTGCTGATTATTTTCTGTGCTGATAGAATCTGAGAAGTTGCTGATAATGTTTTTGTGCAGACTGRCGGGTCCCTAGCTGTACCTATCAACTAAATACGGGCTGTGCAGTGCTGCTCTCATTAGGACAAGGTAGAATATGCTGGAKTTTTAAGATTTCTTTTTTTGGGCCTACTCAAACTTTATATAGGGAGATGAAGACAGTGATCATGAGGTTTGTCCTGCAAGATAAATGCTGGCTTTCAGCCACTTCAGCACATCCACCATGATATGATCACAGAGTATCCTTTCATCATTCAGTACACAAGATGACAGGAGATAAAGAACGAGGAAGGTTTAGAGAAAGAAAGGCACAGAAGGTAAAGCTGTGTGGTGTAGGCCAATAAATACACAGTGGGGAACATAGTAATCTTAACTTTGATTTCCACTGATTATATATCTGACTTACATATTTTTAAATATAGCCAATATGCAAGTTCTAAACTTGTTAAGGCATCTTTATAGTCATTTTAGTGTGTTGAAAACGAACTCTGCTTAAACAATAACTTCTGGTCCACATCCATCCCAAAGTGGAAGTACCAGTTTGGGAAGTTCCTATAATGATGTTTCCCAGTTTTTTCCAAAGTAAGAACATTTTAAGTAATCATAGCTGATAATTTGATTCAAGCTTTGTGTTTCAGGCAGTGGGGTATTGAGAAAGAGCATTTGGAACTTGATGCCAGGACAAACATGATGTCACCTTTGGATCCGTAGCATTTCTTAGAGGGGGTTTTTCCTTCCACGCAGCAACTCAGGTTCAGACTCTGACAATCTGATCATGCCTCTACAACTATTTCCCGCTGTTATGAAAAGACCAGGAAAGACAGCTCCTATTCTGCAATACCTCATTGTTCAGAACCCTGCATCTTGCCCTTACAAGGTCCCCTTCTGGCTCATCTGTTGAAATAGGGGCTTTATCCCCCTTACTGAGGAATAGACACATATCCAGTGAGTTAGTACAATCATTCCCCAATTTTTTTTCCTATATAATAAGTCCTAATGAACCAAGACAAATTTAACTGGTGCATCAATTGACRATTCCTATACATTCATCCACCGCACATTTAGAATGATTAATGTTTTTAAGAGAAGCAAAAGGGAGACAGCTTAAATTAAATCACAAAATTCCATCAAGAAAGTAAGATATAATTGGGATAGGAATTTCTTTTACAACATCAGGGCCTTCTCAGTGCTTCACCTGAAAGTACGCCATGTGGAGAGAACCTGATGATCAGAAAATTTCCACAAACAAAATGGGAACACTAATGTTTCGTCTGGAGAATCACAGATGTTTTCAGAATTGAAAACTGTCAAAGWTAACTAAATAAGAAAGGGTTTACCCCAGATTTTAAATATGTTTCCATAAATAAGAGAAGTTCTTTTAGGAAAAAAYTGTAGGGATGTTCCTTTGAAGATGTCTGTAGTTAATACCTTGTTTTTCTGCCCTGATAGTTACTGTATGAAGCTTCCATGCAGAAATTTTTCTTTTTTAATGTCACTGATATTAAGTTAGAAACCACCTCCTGGCAAGGCTTACAAAAATGTTCCTATGACAGCCATTGAAAATGCAAGTGGATCCAAAGAAGTTTTGTCTCAGATGGTTTCTTTTCACACGTGAAGTGAACTCATGCAAGCACAACCAGCACCCTGGCAGGGTTCCCTCAGCCCTTCGGAAGGTAAAGAGACAAAGGGATTCACACTGGAGATTTCTCTGTCTGCAGTCCCTGACAAGTCCTCCTCTGAATGAAGGGCATAGATTTCCTGATTGATCCATAGAGTAAATGATGGCTTTTTTGGCCCTTCTAATATTCACTTCCTGCACAAGATGGAAGATTGTGGCTCTTTGGATGATGCATATGTTATGGATCGACTGGATTTAGCTCCTATAACTCAAAATTATCTTCTGGAAAAATGTTTTTTAGACACTTTTATATACCATTGCCACCACTTTAGAGCGAAAAAGAAAAGATAAAAGGTTATATGCACACAAAACCAGAAATCTATATTGCAAAGGTTATGCTAAGTTAGAAATAAAGGAAGTGCATGACAGCTGGCATTCATTGTGCCTSTCAGTAGATAATCATGAATGATTCAATTTTCCAATAAGTTTTGAGGTCCATTGTGAAAKATGCATAAGGAAAATCAATACCTGCAAGATAAAAGGCAAAGTCTGCAAATTAGAAATATAGATGTACTGAACCACTGTTTCTTAAAATATAGAGTTTAAGCATGYAATGCCTGTGGTGTWTAGCATCATAATTATCAAGAATTCTAAGGGAGGAAGTAGACCTAAGGTTGACAATGTTTGCCAATTTCCACAGGTTTATTTTTTAATAAAAACCACACAAGTTTGCAGAAGAATGACAGTTGTGGAATATAAACACTCCAGGAATTAGGCAAAAGAAATGTAACCCAGATAAATATAAACTAGGCAAAACCAGCCTAAATATCCAAATTAATCTGTCTCTAGAGGTTACTGGGACTCTGATATTCAGTAACAACACCAATACACAGATAATGGTTGGTTGACTCTAAAACTACAAATCTCTTAAGAAAAGTTTCTCTGAGTCTTAATGTACAGCTCTGTGAAAAGGCTCACCTAGAAAACTTGTGCAAGTGAAAAGCAGACAAATCCATAACAAATAAAATTCCCAAGCATWTTAGGAAGAGGATGAAAAATTAATAGGAATTGCATCATGCCTAGAYATGTAAATGACATGCTGCTTTCTCAATAAGGCACTGAGTTTTGGGCCTGCTCTTTTAACATACATGGATTTTTAAAAATCTTTTTATACTTTAGTGCACATGCACATCCCCACATCTCCCTCATAAGAGCACCATTTCCACATACATATTTTGCAGTGAATTAATAATCTTTGCCACTGTTTACACATTGGGCTGCTGAGATAAGCTGGTTCGCATGTTAGCTTGCAAACATTTTGATAACAATCAGTGCCCTTTTATGAGACGATAAAAAAGCAAGAACTACAGAAGAGAGTATTTTTTTAATTACTGTTCTGATAAACATGAAGAACCACAAAAGTACTATTGTGGCAATATTTTTTTTTGTTWAAAAAAAACCCAAGATGCTTTAYCATARAGCAAAAATAACAGGATCACAYTTTTGACATTGGCTGGCTGYGCAGTTTTACACTTTAGTGTTGWAATTATAMGGAATTAACAATATCCTCCAGCTGCTTTCCTGGCTGTATTAGACTAAGCTTGATTCACAGCAGTGGAGGATCTAGGTCTTACCTGTCTTTCCATTAGCTTTTCTKTTTTCCTTTTATACAYAGCATATAGAAATACACATGTCCAAACAAATGCCCAAAATCATTCCATCACTTCTCAAACCTCAATCATAGCAGTATTTTTTCAATGTGCAAACACCACCTCAATAGTCCAAGTTAAAAAGCAAGTGGCCCCATTCACAGTGAGAAGGCTAGATATTCCTCCAACCCTTTCATACAAGGGAAAAGCAACCACCACGGCACAGACAAAAAAGGCTCCCCGGAACTCTGCAAGCAATGCACCCTTTTAAGGCAGCTTCAACACTGGATATTAGAACCAGACTGGAAAGCACACACTGAAACTAAACGTGGAAACACCTTTACTTACTGTGTTAAAATTTGGGAAGAATCCAACAGCAGAGCTGCTGTCCACAGGGAAGGACATAAAGGGTTTGATATCCAGGGAAGGCTGCATCATCAAGGTAGGAGTGCGCACAAGGGTGGGAAGTGTAGTAGTGCCTGCCAAGAGCAAACAAAACCAGGAATTCATGGTATTCTCCTTTCTGCAATACACACAGTATAGCTGACACAGCTGCCAAGAAAAAATAATASAGGTGGTGATGAAAAGGCTCTGTAGGAGTTAATATCATTAAAAGAAACCTATTTACACACAGCACAGATGAGGCAGAGCACTTCCCTATGGCCATGGATACTCAGATGCTGAAGAGAAGACATATGGTATATAAATCACACTGGCAGGTAGAATAATCCTTTCTACAGCTGAAAAATTCTTCTTGTGCCAAAAAGGCCAGGATGGGTGCCCATGAAAGTCAGATGCTTTTGCAATTCACAGTTGCCTTCTAGATCAGCCAGCACAGACAATACAAGTATGCTGAAATGCAGAGGTTTGTTTCCAAATAGTGAGCTGCATGTTATTTTTTCCCTCTGCTGACTATTAGGTGCTACAAAAACATCATTTCATCTAACATGCAAAAATTGCCTTTTTTACAGTGCAAGGCAAGTATTAGGAAACAGTCAACAATCAGCTAGCATATAAATGAATGCAATTCATTACATATAATGGAAACTAGCATTTTCTAAATGGGAGCTGTCCAAACAAAAGCTTTCCAGAAATCTATATGATGATTTCTTTTTCTGTATACATTTAAGAATCATTGCCCAGCAAGATCCCAAAGGAATGGGCAGGCACAGACATCCAAATATTCATTTTTTAACTAGCTATCTGCCCTATTCACACAAGTGTGCCTAGTACACAGCTCGCAGCAATGCCTGTGGGAGTATTTTTTTCCCCAAAATCATACAAAATAGATTTCAAATAAAATTTCCCTCATTGAAATAAGTAGTGCAAAAAAATATAAAAAATTCTCAGTGTCTCCTTGCTGGGTTGAATAAATAATTCAACATTGATAGGAGCAGGCAGTGGAACATAAGTATCCCRCACCTCTAAAGGAGGGTGAGTCACTCTCTGTCTCTCCTGCCTCTGTCACAATTTCTCCATAATTCCCTCCTTCTCCCACTCATCAGTGGCCAGCAGCTGGGAGCCAATAGCCTCTTGGGWGCTTCCCTTGTCTCAAGCAGAGCTTACACAATACCTGAGTTTTTCTCATAGAAGTTRTCTGAGCTTTTCTAACCCAGCCAGGAAGGGGATGGGAGGAAGGGAAGGTAGGGGGGACTGAGAGTGAGCTGAAAGGAGGGGGTTGGAAAAGCACACAAGCAATTTTCCTTCCCTTCTCCCATAAAATCGAATCATTTGTATCCATTTGCAAAATGCCAGGCAATCTATATGGGCTGCCTGASTTGCAGTCTTCCATTAAGGGATCTCCCTTTCTGCCTGTTAGGGACACACAAAACTGAAGACAGAGCAGACATTTTCCTCCTTTTCACTGTCCTGCCTCCACAATCACAATTCCAAACCCATCTTACRGTATCCAAGAGGAAAGATAAGCTCAGAAGCCAGATGGGGCTGCATGCATTTTTTTTTTTTGGATGACCAAACACTTATGACTGGCCCTGAGCTCAAATTTTGTCGATGCTGGAGAGACAGTCATTTTGATCACAGCTGCAGCACAGTAAACATATTATGGTCTAGCAGATGAATAGCAGGCTATAATCCGTTCTCTGTTTCTTCTATAGGAAAAGCATGATGATTGCACAAAGAGGGGTCAATGACAGCTATGAAGAGAGAAATATTTCACACCATCCCAACTGAGATGCACAACRTGAAAGGAAAAGTATGCTTGAGAAACTTTCCCAGAATGTTATCTTCCTTCTTCTATCCCAGTACTTTCATAAATGTCAGGTTTGTTCCTCCAGGCCCATGAAACTAATTGACAGTTGTGCCTAATTAACTGTAAGTCAAAGCTTATTCAAGTGGAGTCACAAAYGTCAAAAAGCTAAAGGCTAACATGCCTATAGTTTCTTACTCATATCCACAATGGAAAAGATGAATCTATAGGAAACAGTGTGTCAGAGAATTTATCCAAAGAAAGTATCTTCAACTGCAAAAATTATTATTTTTTCTAGTAGCTGGTTCTGAAACAGTAGATTTACATAATTTGGATTTCAGAGTTGCATTCAAACAGGAACTATGTTGTATTCAATTACCTAAAGGGCCATCATCAATCTAACTTCTGCGAGTTTCTCTTTGAAGTTCATAAGCAATTAAAGATCCGTGCAGTTAAAGAAGACTTGTCCTCTCTTTACATAAATGTACTTCAATGAAGCTATGGCTACATATYTTAGCTCACTTTTACAGTGTCTTGGGTTGATGTTGTGCCAGTCCTGTATTCCTATATTCCATCAGCTTGTATGCCCAAAAGGTGCTTGTGCCTTTGAATCCCACCCCGAAGAAGGGGCGGGGGCAGCAAGGGCASTTTAAAAGCCGGGGCTGCTGCGCTGCTGGGGACTTTTGAGCTCAGCTCTGTGGCTCAGGAGGTCCTGCTCGCTGTGTGTAGGGGAGTTACATTGTTGCCRTTTAGCTAACTCAGGTTTGTTAGCTTGGACAAACTGTGTTCCCTGGACTGACACCCCCCTCTGTGRCTGCTGTGATTTTTCTTCTGGAGCAATTCGGCAGCCGACAGGGACAAGCCGCGTTGCTCCGTCTCGTCCMGGAGTCCAGATGAAGCCAAGCCGGAGGCAGAAAACACACCGAAGCCTCTGTTTCGTCCACAGTGRGGACTATCATCAGGTTTATTTCCACTGTTGCCAGAGTGGCCACGTGAGTTTTTCCTTTTGTTTCTTTTTTCSCGGGGACAGAAGCTGCCATCTTTCKCYGCACCACCAYGTGGCCAAGCCATTGTGGTGCAGGGGGCAGAATGYGTTCCTGGACTTTTAAATATCTAATAGTTACTTKTTATCTGTGTCCTGTGGGCACTGTGTTTTGTTAATAAAATACTTYTTTTCTCTTCACTTTTGCCCAAACATCTATTTCATATTGGCGAAAAAAAAAATATCAAATTTTTTCACTTCAGAGGAAACATTTACTCTGTAATGTTTTTCTCTGTAAACATTGTCTCAAACTGAGATATAAAAAAAAAAAAAAAMCAAAACAGAAAACCAAAGAAACTTAAATTGTGACTGACATTTGAAATCAAAGCTACTTTTCTTGTCCTTATTCAATGTATAATGTATAGCAAGCATTTGGCATAAAATCTTTAAAAATTAAAAACCAATTAGCATCCCCCTGGAAAAAGTGCAACTTTCTTTGTACTCCTTGGGTGAGTACAGAACCTTTCATGCGAAAAAGACATCTGAAATCTCTCTGTAGTTTTGCAATCCATGGTGTTTCTGCTGCTAGAATAGTGATGTTAAGAGCTAACTCACTATCCAGGTAACTTATTTTTCCAACTTGAAGCAGAAGCCCAGAATACGTGGGACATTGCACAGCCCCTAGCCAACAACAGGAAAAATGCTAACAAGTTTTCTGCCTCCTGGGCACCACACCAAGTAAACCACGAAAGAATAAGTATGCAGCTCCTTTGGGAGTTGATATGATCAGCATAGTGATACACATCTTTTAAAACCTGGAGAGTGCACTGTGTTCATATGTCCTAAACATTACTCACACAACAATGGAACAGTCAGACCTCCACTGGCTTACTGGTGACTTTTAGAAGCAAAGTATGCACATCCATCCACATCTAGCAAATGGAACCAGCTAAATCCTCAAGAGACGTGCTCTTTTGTTTTCTCAGAAGCCACATGGAAAGGCAGCAAGAACTGGTGTAGAAATCACAGCTACTCAACCGCACTAAAGAAGAACCCCTTCATGGAACCCTCACAAGGCAAGTGGTAAGAAAAGCATTGGTCCAGGTCCAACCTTCCACAGCAACACATGGATACAAAATGATTTGTTTCAGCAAACCCAGAGACATTTGATGCAATTTCACTATAATGTATGAATTATCTTTTATCTTGTACAGTTTAAGCTCTTCATACTCAAGAATCCCTTACCTAAAAAACATGTCAGATTAYGAAAATAAATCTCTCCCTAAAAATTAAAACATGATTTGCAGTAATGCTTGAGCAMAAAGTTAGTATTTCCATTAATACCCACACAGAAATGAATGGTCTGTAAATGAAGGTGTACTATCAGAATTCCATATTTTCCTTTYGTATAAAATCAGATACTTCAAAATGGATATTTCTATGTTTCAAATATATGTAGGTTTCCACCAACTAGGCCAACACCAAAATTAAATTGAAATTTGATGCTGATAAAATGAATGGAAGCCCAGGAATCTGGTCAATCCAAAAAGTCAACCATCACTTACCTACCTTACACTGATAATTATATATAACTCATTTAGAATAGCAGTATAACTAYATATTGCAGGTATTTCACACAAGAATTCTAAAAATAAAAACAAGCCTTCCTGTACTTACAAGTAAGTATATCTTCATTAGATCAGATCCTTCCTCATTGAAATCTTAGGTGCTTATTTGGAATTACTTTAATTTCTATTAATTGTTAATATTACTTAATAGTCCTTTGACTAGCTGTCTTCCATCTCCAACACCTCATGATTGAAGGATGGTCATTTATTAAAAAATGTAAATTCAGACTATAGATCATAAATATTTTAAACATACCTGATAGGAAAATATTAATGAAAAAAATACATTGAATACTTCTGCTATGAAAATATGAATATTCAAAAAAACCTGTCAATATTTTAATTGCCTTAATATCTACATTTTGTATATMAAAATCCTGTACATGAACAAATAATGTCTATTGGGGAGAGGGGGGCTGAGGAGAGAAAAGAAAGAGAAAAAACAAGAGGAAACTGGAATTTTACTATTTTAGAGACAAATACGTGAGGAAAATAATCCAAAAAAAATCTTAATTCTCCTCGTAGTTGTACTGCCTTTCTAATAGTTTTCAATATCAACAGGAATCCCTACAGGTCTCTTATGGAAGATACCAGAGCAGATGGAGTGGGAAATCAAGTCCAATAATTAGAAGTGGAACAGATTATCTTGCATTTTCCTTAAAT